TTAGTGAAAGATACTGTAGTAGCTTCTTCAATACAGCTTTTATAAATTTCAGATGTCTGTAGATTGTACTTGCAAAACTTCTTCTAAAAATTGTATATATTTGCCAAAAAGTTCTGTAGTAACAAATATTCAGTGTAGTGCTACTGAGAGAATTCAGGAGACAGAGCCTATTAAAGTTAAAGCATAACTTAATGGTATGACTCCACAGAGAGCCACGTAAATATATTCCTTAGTCATCTCCTGCCCTTCTCCTTTCATAATTTCCATAATATGTCATTTCTGGTTTAAGACAGATGTTTACAATTCTGCTTAATTCAGTGTTTCATGTCCTGCTGCTGTACATTAGAAAAAATGATGACGTAGAAAGTCGCGACCCTTTGTGATAAAGGACGTAATCTTTTCAAAGTCAGAAATGTATTTTATATTTAAATAATTTTATTTACATATGTGTTTACAGCACATTGTTCATTCCCATAACGCTAACAGATTTTTATTTTTAAAGCTCAATTTATAGCTTGCATCAGCACCAACTTCTTGTCATCATTCTGTTCACAAATGTCAAACAAATGGAAAGACCTTCACGTTAACATCTAGGTGTTCTGCTTTCTTGATCCTGCAAAACATCCACAAGGCACTTAGCCACCACTACCAAAAGGAAAGATGCAAGAATTGGTGGGATTTTTCTCTCAATAACCTCGCATGAAAGGCAATTGCCTTTGCGTAGCCTGATGTGTCCTTATTTCCGCTGTTTGCGCTGGCTGCGCACTTTGCGTAGCCTGCTGTGCCCGTGCAGCTCCGGGCTGCGCTGTGTCCTTATTTCCGCTGTTTGCGCTGGCTGCGCACTTTGCGTAGCCTGCTGTGCCCGTGCAGCTCCGGGCTGCGCTGTGTCCTTATTTCCGCTGTTTGCGCTGGCTGCGCACTTTGCGTAGCCTGCTGTGCCCGTGCAGCTCCGGGCTGCGCTGTGTCCCTATTTCCGCTGTTTGCGCTGGCTGCGCACTTGGCTGCGCACTTCGCGTAGCCTGATGTGCCCGTGCAGCTCCGGGCTGCGCTGTGTCCTTATTTCCGCTGTTTGCGCTGGCTGCGCACTTTGCGTAGCCTGCTGTGCCCGTGCAGCTCCGGGCTGCGCTGTGTCCTTATTTCCGCTGTTTGCGCTGGCTGCACACTTTGCGTAACCGGATGTGCCCGTGCAGCTCCATGCTGCGCTGTGTCCCTATTTCCGCTGGTTGCGCTGGCTGCACACTTTGCGTAACCGGATGTGCCCGTGCAGCTCCATGCTGCGCTGTGTCCCTATTTCCGCTGGTTGCGCTGGCTGCGCATTTTGCGTAGCCTGATGTTTGCGCTGGCTGCGGACTTTGTGTAGCCTGATGTTTGTGCTGGCTACGCACTTGGCGTAGCCTGCTGTGCCCGTGCAGCTCCGGGCTGCGCCGTGTCCTTATTTCCGGTGTTTGCGCTGGCTGCGCAATTTGCGTAGCCTGATGTTTGCGCTGTTTGCGCTGGCTGCGCACTTTGCGTAGCCTGCTGTTTGCGCTGGCTGCGCACTTTGCGTAGCCTGCTGTTTGCGCTGGCTGCGCACTTTGCGTAGCCTGCTGTTTGCGCTGGCTGCGCACTTTGCGTAGCCTGCTGTTTGCGCTGGCTGCGCACTTTGCGTAGCCTGATGTTTGCGCTGTTTGCGCTGGCTGCGCACTTTGCGTAGCCTGCTGTTTGCGCTGGCTGCGCACTTTGCGTAGCCTGATGTTTGCGCTGTTTGCGCTGGCTGCGCACTTTGCGTAGCCTGATGTTTGCGCTGTTTGCGCTGGCTGCGCACTTTGCGTAGCCTGCTGTGCCCGTGCAGCTCCGGCCTGCGCTGTGTCCTTGTTTGCGCTGGCTGCGCATTTGGCGTAGCCGATGCGCCCGTGCAGCTCCTGGCTGCGCTGTGTCCTTATTTCCGCTGGCTGCGCATTTGGCGTAGCCGATGCGCCCGTGCAGCTCCTGGCTGCGCAGGTTGCGTACCTTGCGGCTTTCCGCGGTCTCAGCTGCGGGCGCCGCGGAGCGATCCGCCCGCTCTCGGCTGGTCCCTGGTAATTGGGGGTCCCTGTCTGTGGGGAGCACTTCCGCGATGGTAAAACGTCCCGTCCCCAGCTTTTGAGCGGTTAGCCCCAATCCCGATTCCTTCACAGCTTACCCGACCCTCCGGCTCTGCAGTTCTTGGGTCTGGTCTATGCTGCGACCTTGGAATCGGCTCCTTCCACCCGGGTCTCCGAATTCCAAACACCGAGATGTTCATCTGAGGAGGAGTTTCCCCGAGTTCTGGTTTTCCTCAAGGGTTCCTGGCACAGTTTCTCCTTAGTGAGCTGCGACTTTTACACGGAGGCAGCAGGTTTGGGTTTCTCGAGTCGGGGTTGAAGGCGCTGGGGACGCTATTTGACGTTCGGACTCAGGTGTTCATTTCTCACCTGTGTTAGGGTCTCACCACTGTGAGCTCGGCAGCTTTTTCATTAGCAAGGCCCGGAATGGCTAACTAACTCTTGTTACAAGGTGTGTTAAAACCAAGCTATCCAATTAAGAAAAGCCACCTAGATTATTTTCCCTTTTAACCCAGTAACTGATCCCCCAAAGCCTGCAACGCGGACTTTTCTGTCCAGTTGCAAAACATCACCCAAACCCATGGAGAAGAAGGTAAAGAAGAGCAACCTGCCTCTGCCCTAACACCTCCACGTTGCTTCATATTTATTTCTATATTCTAAAATCCCAAACTCTAAGTTTTCCACCCTGTGATACTACGCACTTCTAACCAACTACACCCCCGTAATCCCAGTGCTATTAATCAATTTTAAAAGCCTGTTCCACGACCTCAGGTCAAATGCAATGTTCTCTTGTGGGTCTGTGCCTTTAAGCACAGAAAGTTAAACGTTCTCAGCATCCAGGATTCCAACAGACAAATTCTGTGTGTATATATATATAACTCTATACTTTTGGGTTTTTTTGGTTTATTTGGCACAAAATGTGGAAATTTTACAACTGTCTAGTACATTGTGTGTCCTATTGCTACACAGTTTTTCACATTCTGGGTTACTGCATGGTCTTCTCAAAATAGCCTATGTAGAGATTACTTACAAAAGATTAACGTATTAGTAGAAGTTATTTCTTGTAATAGTTTAACACTGGGCAAAAAGAAGATAAATGAATCTAAATGTAGTGATTACAACTCATTCTTTCTTTGCTTCTGAAATCTGGACAGAGTGCTACTGAACCAACTATCACCAGTCTGTAGAAGGACTGGAGGATACTGAGTTAGTCAAACCAAAGGTATGACTTGCTATCCTGGGTTAATTAAGTGCAAGTCCCTAATGAAACAGTGCCTCTGGCACATCTGTTTTAACATCATCCCAAAAGGTGATGCTGATCTTCATGTGAAACCATTAGGATGTGTGTAAAACACATTCACTTTGTGTTCACAAGTACAGCATGTACCCCTGGTGAGCAATAGATGAGTCAGGTGTGCTTCGTGTCTTTGATTTTCATTTTGTTTACCTTGGTTCATCTTGTATCTGCTGTACAGTTCCATTTTTTTCAGAGCCAGTTGTCTAATGCAGTATCTCTATGGTGGTTAGTACAGTAGGCTGTTTCTCTTTGGCGAGTTTCAACATAAATTTTCAAACAGGGAATTAAAATAGGTAATTGGCTGTGACACTTACTAGAACAACATCCAGCTCTTTGCAAATCATGTTTTCAAAGATACAATCTGGATTGCTGGATTATGTCATTCAAAATAACATCCTAATTCCTGTCTGAATTCTGAATCAGAGAACTATGGGCATCCATGTCAAACAGCTGGGAAAAAAATTATTGTTTATGCAGTAAAATGGGAAATTGTGTCAGATTTCCTTATCTGGGAATCATGAAAATGAGTTTTCAAATAAAATTTTAGTTTCTTTGCATTTGCTTTTAAAAAAGGGATTTTTTTTTTTTTTTTTTTTTTTTTTTTTTTTTTTTTTTTTTTTTTCCAAGAGAAACTCAAAGTTTCCAATTCTGGAATTAAAGTTGCCAGTGTTTCAGTGGGATGCAGACCCATATTTGAACTGGATGGAATTATGTTTTTTGCTCTAATGACAGCTTGTTCTTGTGCACAATGTACAGGAAAGCTATTTCTGTTCAGTAAGAAACATACATTCCTGAAATGTGGTGGGTTCTGTTTCTGTTTGTATACTTACAGTTCATGAATGCAGGAATAGTTGGGTTTTGTATTCTTTTTTTTTTTTTTCATGTTAAGGGTGTTATGTTCAGCAGTTGTAGATCTCCTTATTGAATACTTACTGTTTTGACCGGTTTTAAAAGATGTTCACACTGCAGAGAAATCTTCACCTTTGACTGTCAGTTATGGGATAATACGAGTGAGGAATGGAGAAATAATTACTGTGAAGAATTAATTTTGTCAGGGTTTGTTATTTTCCCTGAAAAGAGAAGAAAAACATTTAAAACTCCTACATGAAAAACCATATTGAGTTGGCAGAATGCTTTCAGGTAACTAACTTCGTACTGGTTTTATTAATTGCAGTTTTAAATTATAAAATTTAGCAGAAACACCCCTTGATTTTGATCATCAAGGTCAAGTGATGAGACCTTGGCCCTTTTACTCAGATGTTAAAATGACTTACAGAAAATGATACTGAGCTATGGAGTTGATACCATGCAAGGATTAGAGGTTTTTTTTCCCTGCCCTAATATGCTGCACCTCAGCGTATTAAATCTAAGTTGCTTTCAGTTGCCAGTGTTCTGGGAAGGTCTCTATGGGCAGTCCTGTTCCTGCTGAAGCAAATTGTAATGCAAATGCATTTAAGAATTCTGTAAGAGGATACTGTGCCTTGATTAATCTCTCTTGTTTATTTATATCGTTGTTGGTGAACTGAAGATGTTATCCATATTAAAAATAAAGCCAGTATTGATCAAATAGTTAAAAGGTCTCTCGATACTTCGTAACACTTGCTAATAAATTATTTTGGCTTTTTTTGTCCCACTCTCAGAACAAAAGCCTCAAAAACAAGCTCTTGTCAGGAAACAAGCTTTGTGGTATGCACGCAGAAGAGGTAAGGAAGATTCCTCTCTGTTCTAAATCTAATGTACCCAAAAAATTTGCATCAAAGTATTTTGTACTGAGGTTCTGGTGTATTATATATATATGAGTACAGAATATATATAATGCTTATATGGTGAGTGTTCCTGAAGTGCTGTCATCCCAACTTATTTTTGTGACTTCACAAGAAGCAGTTCAAATGTATTAGAAAGCAAGTTGCAAACTCTAGTTTTAGACTAATAAAATCATCTAGGCGTGCCTATGATATAATTCTATAGATATATGCATCTATAAAATATATAAAACTGATTTCATTTACATGAGCTCCTTGTCTACACTAAGCCAGGAATTGCCAAAGGCTTGTTTTGAAGTTGAGACAGGAACAATCTATTATTACTGATTTCCAGAATCCTTCCTTATTTCAGGGGAATAAAGATCCTGTTTTTGGCAAATTCCTCAGTGTAGAAGTACCTGCACTCATATAAGCATTCCCTTTATTTCTCTTTTAATTTTAAAAAAAGTTATTACATGTGAATTTGATTTATTCACATTACTTTAGTCTGGGTTTTTTGCATCTATAATTGCTCTTAAGGTTATTGCACCTTGCCAGAAAGAAACCAAAGCGTAAAAAATTTCCGCTGTACTAAAATTTTCCTAATGATGTTGGAAAATATTTTCTTCATTAGAGTGTCTGCCTTTTGAGATCAGTACTTAGAAAGTCAAGTTTCTGGTAAATTCTCAAAGGTAGGAAATAATAGGATTAGAAATGTTTTTCTTAAGTCTTTCAAAATCAAAATTGTTTCAAAGAATTTTGCTGGACCGATCTTTGCTATTAGTTTCAGATTTTACAGAATACCATAACCATTTTGGTTATGGTATTCTGTAACCATTTAGGTTCCTTAGATTCATTCAGCCTTCCCAAAAGTCTGTCACTGAATTGGACTGCATCAATTGGTAAGAAATAAAATCTTTTTAAAAATTCCAACTTAAGATATACTCCTTTTGTAATATATTATGTTTATGGAATGCTCTTTCAGTGGATGTGAAACAGACTTCTGATCCATTCCAAGGACTTCAAAACACTTGGCATTAATTAATACAAGAAAATGTATTGTGTATCAGTTGGGATTGTGTATTTTATTAAAAACAAATTATTACTTTGAGATGATTCTTGGATAAATGGTGAAATAATGTTCCTTGAATAGTTGAGTTTAGTACAAAAAATCAATTTCTATTTCTTTTGTTTTAATTAATAAAATAATATATAGACTACTACTTAGAATTATCTTAAGGATATATTTAGCAATATATAAAGTAAATATCAGCTTAAACTGGTATAAACAAGCATAACTATGCCTGTACTTTCAAGGGCATGGTTACAAACTGAGAAGGTAGCTCCAAAGTAGTTACACCTGCAACACCCTGATCTTTACAAAGACTTTTATAAGCCTATGGAGCCTTTTTGCTTCTAAGAATAAGATTGTTTACTTTGAAGTTGATTCCTTCAGTTATGCTTCATGGCAAGTATTAATAACAGCTCATGTCCAAAATGTGTAAGCCCAGCTGCTGTTCTTTACAGTCCTAACTCAGGTATGTGCTTTAGTTGTGTGTGTGCTATTTTGCATTTTCCTCAGTACTTTTGGTTGGTTTGACTTGTGAAGCTGGAAAAGCAATCGACAATTATTTGGAGGGGGACATTCTATATTTTTAATCTGATCTAGGTTCTGCTGTTCTCAGAATTCACAATTTTTTTTTTAATATATAAAATTTAAAAAACCCAAAACCTGATTTGATTATCCTCATTTTCAGTCAAAAAAGATCCAAGCCCAGCTGAAAGAGCTTCGTTATGGGAAAAAGGATTTGATTTTTAAGGTAAGTTTTATTTCACTATAGTTAGCTAAAGTATATTAGCATTTATACAGCATCGTAGCGAAGTAGGAATATGGTAGCTGCCTTTATTATTGCAGTTCTCAGGAAGAAGTTTGTTCTGAAAAGAACTCAAAACATCAAGACAGACTTAATACCATAATGCATTTTCAGAAATATAATATATTTTTGTGCTTGCAAAAAGCAAAATTCTAGGTTACTGCTGATGAATAAAACCTGTTGCCCGATTCCATACCTTCTGTAACTTGTCTTTCATCTTTTTAACTGAATGATATCATATTTTACAGCTGCTTCTTGTTTTTCCTTTAATTAGCACTCTTCCATGGCAAAGTCAACTATTGTTAACATTTGAAGTAAATCTCTGTGTTCATGATAAGCTTGAGCAATGTAGTGTTCCTTAGGTCTGAAGATTTAAGAAAAAAGAAACATCTGCTGCTAAAACAATCCAAATCAATAGTCTGCACTAGCTAGCACATTTTAAAAAATAATACAAATTTTTACAATAAAGGAGGGCAGGACAAAACATAAAGACATTGCTGAAGGGCGTCTAGTCCTTGTTAACACAGGGAGAAGCTAATCCCTGTTAGAAGGAAGAGGAGAGAGATGTGGGTCATCTGACTGATGACTGTTAGTGGAGTAGTCCCTTTATATATTCCCAGCACAAAGGATGGACATGAAGTAGTCATCTTCCAAGTTACTAGACCTAGAATTACTTACAAGTCATTCATGTCACTATGAGTTCCAGATTGTCTTCTGGAAGCGTTTAACTCTCTCTGCTGTTTCTCTATAGTATCTATAGTGCTGTGAATATGTAAATACAGAGTAATAGAGTGGGCCATTGAAACAACAGTGTGATTTCTGTGCTTTTTTTTTTTTGTGTGCTGGCTCTTTATTTAGCAGGTTATCCTTAAAGAATTGACCCAAGTTAAAATTTGATTTGTATTATAATGTAAAAACCAAGAAATTAGTAATAAAAATTGAACTCCAGAAGCCTGAGGGCATGGAATGGTGTTGAGGGAAAATGCACTTGCAAACATTGGGTTGAAATAACAATGTGGTGCTCTTTATCTGAAAATTGAGAATTTTATCCTATTATTTTGCATATACAAAATGTATATTTACCTAATCAGAATTTCAGAGAGAAAAGATAAGTGGCTAGTCCAGTGTCCTTCTCTATGGCTCCCTTTTCAAACAGGGAAAACAATGGCTAGGCTGGGTTTTTTGCAGGTACAACAGCAAAAGAATCCTTATTCCTTTTGGTTGCATAGTAATGTGTTATTAATGACAAGGCTGACAACTTCAGGAATCTGCTTTCCTGAAGCAGAAGAGTCTTGCAGAGAATGTATTTCCTTCAAGTGAACAGGCTGGGTTCATACATATCCTTGGGAAAGAGAGAGAAAATACTTGTCCTTATTTACTGAACATTTAAAAGCATCTTCTGATGCTTTTTGTTTTGGGCCACTCACTTAAAAAGCTTCTGCTGAACTCCTGTGCTCCATGAATGACATATACATTATACAGAGCCAGAAGTCCTTCCACTCAGGGTGCAGGCTACTAGCCTGATCCTGACTTCCAACACAAGTCTCCCAAATTGCTTTCCTGCTATGAGTTAGCTAGTCTTGTGCATTTTCCTTCTCTATTTCCAGGAAAAGACATGGAGGAAAAAAATCTGGAGTTACCTCCTTGTATAGTAGTAGGTAGTATAATTTCATAAGGTGTCTGCATGCAAGAATGTTTGGGTGTTTTCTAATTTGTCTGTTTATGCCCAATTAGCTTAATGTTGGCATCACAATGCCTAAAACTACAAAATAATTTTCAAATTGCACCTGGAAATCAGACAAACGAACAAAATTATTAAAAGACATTTGAATACCTTGAATTTTCCAGAAGGATATTATGGCATAATCTTAAATATTTTATAGTATGGAAATAATTTTGCTATTGACATTGAATTATTATAAGCTTGCATTCACATCAGTGGAGCACATTTGGCCATAATGTTTTTTTTTTCCTCAGGAAAAGCAAATCTGACCCAGCCCATATATATTACTTGCAAAATTTCTGTTCTTTCCTCTCTCACATGAAAAAATGCATTGGAGATTGCATCAGCTTTTTTTCTTGATCCCCACAGGCACAACAGCTAACAGATCTGGAGCAAAAACTATCTGTTGCAAAAGACAAATTGGAAAACGCAGCCCTTGACCAAGTAAGAAGTGTCATGTAATGTAAGCATGTTTACCTATATCGGCTGTGGGTGTTTTGGTGGAATTTGACAAAAACAAATGTAAGCCTTGCAGTTACTTAGATGGATACTAAGTTGCATATGAATTGTACCTGAGAGAGATGCTGCTGAAATCAGTGGAACTAATTATGATACATGAAGTTAAGTACATCTGCAAAGTTATTTAAGAAGAGGATGGTCAAATTAGAAAAAAAAAACAGCTCAAAAAATTTTGCACTGATTTTAGTAGATTTAGGTATTTATTGAACTACAGTTTGTGCTGACTGTAGGCTTAGTGTCAGTCATAAGTTTATTTACACTAGAGCAGTTTTCTATTTCCCACCATGAACCCTTAGAATGTTTACAAATTTTGAATTACCAGGCCCCAGATACCAAGAGTAGTGTGGCCAGTAGGACTAGGAAAGTGATTGTCCCCCTGTACTCAGAACTGGTAAGGCCACACCTCACATGTTGTTCCGTTTTGGGCCACTCACTTAAAAAATGGCATTTTAGTGCTGGAGTGAGTTCAGAGAAGGGCAGTGACGCTGGTGAAGGTCTTCTGGGGGCATCTGGGGGAATTGGCCTTGTTTGGTCTGAAGAAGAGGAGGCTCACACTCATTGTTCTCTTCAGCTGTCTAAAAGGAAACCATCATGAGGCAGGGGTTGGCTTTTTCTGCCTTGTCTCAAGTGGAAGGATGAGAGGAAATTACTTTAAGTTGTACCAGGGGAGATACAGATTAGACATCAGAAATTTTATTTTCACTGCAGAAGTGGTTAGGCATTGGAATAAGCTGCCAAGGGAGGTGGTGGAGGTACCACCTCTAGAAGTGTTGAAGAGGCATCTGGATGTGGCACTTGGGTTTAGGGGTGATTAAAATGGTGCTGTGTTGCCAGATGGTCTTAAAGGTCTCTTCCAGTCTTGATGATTCTGTGGATCTAGCCACGTGATAGGACTGAAATAGATCAGGGACATATGAAGAATGCATCACATGTGGGCAGCATTTTGGCCGGTAAGCAGCCTATTTTGATCACAATCACATCTAGGCAAGGTTATAGCGAACTTTGTCAAATTACGTCCCTGGTTCCAATAGTGTTTCCTTCACCTGTGCTTTCCTGGTGTTCATTTATAGATCTCCTATCAGCAAAGTCAATACTGAATTATGCTATTCACAGGATGGAAACAAATTTACTTGTTCTTCTTTTACCTTTGAAACGGCAAAATTGGAATGGCTGCTGCCAAGGAAGAATAAGCACTGGATAGCAGGATTAAGAGATGAGAAATTATCCAGAGAAATTTCTGGATGAGAGGAGAGTAATTTCAGATTGGTGCCATCTGCAGGAAGCACTAGGGTTATATCAGACTAGATTGACTGAGTCCATATCATCATGCAAAATTAGCCAGTCTGCTACCTCTGCCCATTTAACCATAACAAATGGTGATTTATGCTGTCTGTGCAGTCACTAACTTGAAAAGGTAGAATTCAAGACATGTTACATTGAAAAGAAGTACTTTTTCTGATGGACATCAAAATTGCAACGACTAAGTCTCATAACTGGATCCAGGGATGGTGATATCTTTTTACTTTTATGGTTCCTCCCTCTTCCTTTTCCCTTTTTCCCTTTTTCCCTTTTTCCCTTTTTCCCTTTTTCCCTTTTCCCCTTTTCCCCCCCTTTTCCCCCCCTTTTCCCCCCCTTTCCCTTTCCCTTTTCCCCCCCTTTTCCCCCTTTTCCCCCTTTTCCCCCCCTTTCCCCCCCCTTTCCCCCCCCTTTTCCCTTTTTTTTCCCCTTTCCCTTCTTTTTCTCCCTTCCCTTCCCTGAACTTCTTCCTCATTTTCTTAAGTGTTTTTTTTATGCTTTTATATTGATTTGGTACCGTAGGTAATAACCAAAACAGTTACATATTTGCTTTCATCTGCAACCAAATTGCTCTACAATAAAACATTTACATATATATAAAACACAGGTAATTCTGTGGTTTTCACTCTTAATCTGCCCCAAGGGATGTATTAACAAGAACCTAAGTTAATGACTTACCTTCAAGGGCAGATCATAACATGTTCCACCTCCCATATCTTTAATTTTCCCTATTGTGCTCTGCATTAATAGTCTTTCTATGGTTGTCTTTTGTCCTCCTGTCGAAATACACTTCTGCTAACTGGCTTTGTTTGTTTTTTTAAGAAATGCTCAGTTTTTTCCAGTTAAGAGATAAATTCCCTGTTTTCAGTTCAGGGGAAGTTTATCTGAGTTAAAACAAAATATTTGTAATTTTCTCAAAAATATTTGCTAAGAAAATAAACTAAAACATGCTGTATGGCATTGCTTAGGATTAATATGACTATGAAATATTTTTATTTTATATGCAATATTTCACATACATTATATGTAATGTGTAATGTTATATACACATTTTCCACCATATATGCATATGTTTTCCACCAGCTTTTGCCATGGTATCCCTTGATTTTCATACCTTTAAAACAATCTTTGATGATTGAAATGTGAACGCATTCTGTGTTTACAGGTGTATTTTTAATAAAAAGAAGAAAACTAGAAATTAAATGTTTTTTTAATGTCAAATGCTGCTGACTCCCCCTGGAGTGAGTGTAAGATTTTACCTCAATGGCTAACATTTGATCCATGTCTTGCTTTGATGAAATGAAGATTTAAAATATGATTTCCTCACTGCTGTAGTTATCTCCTTGTTCTTGCCTTCTCAGCTTATTTCAATTACAGACTTCTGTTTCCATCAATATATCTGTCTATGTTTCTGGGAGTAAAGCACAAATGTTCTAACAAGAGTCGCAAGCACTTCACCACTTAGAAGTTTTATTTTGGCTTAATGGACAGTAGTGGGTCTGGACAAATATATTTTTAACTGTTAAAAAGACCTATGGTTTTTTTACTATATAGTGCAAAAGTATAATATGCCCATGAGGGAAGCCATCTTAACTGGATTATAATCTATGTATAATGTAGAAAAATACCAATTATTTGGAATGTTATAGACAAAACTCCATGCAAAGTCTGTGTCTTGCAATACTTATGATTTCTCCGTAGATATTATACATAAAAGGCTGGACACGGTATGATATTTTGTAAATAGTATTTTTCTTTCCAGAAAAAATATATTTAAGTACTATTTGCAATAATCAATGTGGATAAAACTGCTTGAAGGGATGGGGAGAGAGTGCAGTGACTTCCTAGGCAGTTTGGTGTCTAATGTACTGTAACCTAATCACATAAAAATACTGCTTTAGACAGTCTTAATTCCTTCCATCAATAAGAAAAAGCAGCAGCTACTCATAGGTGTTTGGTTGAATACAGATGGAGAATGTAAGCCCTTGTGTTCATGCCAGCACATCACAGAGAAGTGATGGTTTCTTATTTCCCCAGGAGTCCCAGCTGAAAGCTCTGAAGGAGACTGTGCAGCTTTGCCTGTGCTCCGTTCTGCGCAGTCAGCCTCCCGCAGCGAGTCTGATCTCCTCCAAACCAGCTGAGAAGCTGCCTTCCTCCAATGCAAAGGGCTCCCAAGCCCCATCCCAAGGCACAAGCACCAAGGTATGATTTCACTCTTGGGTGGGGTTTTTTTTAACATCTTTGAAAGTGTGTCTTGTAAGAGCATCAAACTGAAACTAAGGAGGATTTCAAATTCGTTGGAAGATTATGACAAATTTTGAGGATAATTCTAAGACTGTTTCCGATGTCAATAAATAGGTTTTTTTTTAATTTGGGAAGCAGCTACATTTTACTGAATAACAAAATTCTGTCACTTGGTAAATGGATTGATAGTGTCTGCAGGACAAATCTACAATGCAGATGGATTTGCATTTAAAATAAATGAGGGTACTAATTCGTAGGATCATTTACCTGTCAGGCACTGAAAGTGAGTTTGTGGTAATACAGCACTGAACAGTTATATGGGGTTTGCATATCACGGTTTCTCTCAGTGGAAAAAAAAATTATATAAAAATCATAAAATCATCTGGGACACCCAAATCAAAATTGCCAAAATGGATCGATGAACTTGACAGTAGGGAATAGGGAGTATTCCAGTTTTGCAAGATGAGAAGGACAGTTTCAGGGAAAACCTGAGGAAAAAAAAAAGATAAAAACTGGTTTGAGTCAGGAAATTCAAATATTGTAATCCAGTTAAGATTCATGTTGATTAACAACTGTCCTAGTAATTTTCATTTCCCGTGTTGCATTTTGCTCCTGAATTCAACTGATTGAATAGATAGAACTAGAAGAAATCTGTAATTTCAGTGAAAAGGAAGTTATACAGAGGAATGACTGAAGGACACTTCAATGTCCTCTTTTCATTACAAAACTGAAATAAAAATAGGAATTGCTAACTCATAGCCAATCTGCAGTTTGTATATGGCAGTTGTTGGTATTTACTGTTAGTGCACAGGCTGAAGCCAAAAATTACTAATCTTTCTATATGTAATTAAAATACAATTTCAGAAAGCAGGATGTAATTATTAAACTGAATATCACATTGCTACTCTTAAAATTATGATTGTCAGTTTATTAATAACTGTTTTGCAGGAAAGACCATGATTCCCAAAAATTGTTACCTCTGGGAAAAAAAAGCACTGTATTTATGTTTAGCAGCAGATGGGTATGATAGTGCTCATTTAGATTAAGCTCCCTGGATCCATGTTCTGCAGGATGGCAGACTTTCCTTTTGTAGGTTTGCAAGCTGAGCAGCTCTCTGGGATCTCAGGAGCATATTGTTCCTAGTTAATGTGGCTGTAGAATTGTTTAGCTTGCTCTTATTGTCCTTTTCTTCAGGTTGGAAGTGTTCATGCCTCTGTCATGAGAGGAGTACTGAAGGATAAGGGCCAGCTAGACAGCATGTCTCTGTTTAAGATTGGTCCAGGGTCAGAGCCTTTGGAGAATTTGGGGTCTCCTTGATGTTACATAGGGACATGAGAATACAGATAGAGATTAGAATTAGGTTTTTGATATTTGACTGAAATACGGAGTACTCTTCCTTCTTTTTTCTTTTCAGTTATCTGAATACAGTCAAGGGAAATGGAAAAAAGTACCTGGTATCTCTTTTTCAGTCTGTAACACCCCCTCCCAGCACACACACACACACATACCACACAAACTATCCTTTTCCTTCAAGTTTTAGTGGCACATTCTTTATCTTCAGTTGATAAACTATTTTACATCGCTCCTCTTTGTTGCAGAGTGTAAGTAGCTGGAATGGCCCGTTACCTCAGGGTTCAACTCTGAAATTAGCAATGTGCTAATGGGTTAAAGAGGAAACTGTTAATTGTTCATTGCTGCGCATTTTGTGGTTGTTAACTGCAGATCTGTTTGCCTGTAAATTAAAATTACTCCATAGTCTCACTCCAAATATCCTTTTTTAATTAACTCTTTACCTCTCAGCTGTTTCAATAAAGTCTCCCGAAATCTATTACATATTATGTCTCAAAATACTGTGGATTACTGCTTGACGGTGGTAGAAAAGGTGTATGTATATACAAAATTCAAATTTCTTAAGAAATATTTTAAATAACATCACAATCCAGATTGTTAGGTATGGTGATTGGTCTCACATGGAGATGTGGATTAGCATTTACAGCATCCATCCAGTTTAACTAAATTTGCTTCAGTCTAAAGCCAGGACCCCAGACTAGAGCAGCCTCAAGCTTGCTGTGATGCTCAGCAGATTTCTGGACAAGCTTTTACTCTATCAGAAACAGAGAAGACCTCTTAATTACTTTTCAGATGTTACTATTTTAGACAGATCTTTTATCACCTACTCACGTCAAGTGATTTTTTAAAATATTTCTCTTTTTTTTTTTTTTGGCCTGGTGACAGCAGAGATAATTGGTAAAATGTACACTATTTCTAATTTTAGTTGAAGTTGCATTTAGCAGAAAAGTAGTAATATATTTATCTTTTGACTTTCGTAGGTGATGTGTTTGTTCCATGTTCTGTTAAAAAAATATGTGCATGTGAGCAATGACAGTAAGGCAGAATTTATGTGTCTTTGTGTGTCTTTGTAGTTGCACATTAGTAACCCCATTCTCTTTAATATTAGCAATTTTTTCTATGGATGTTCTGTGTAAATGAACACAGAAAATGTGCAGAGGAGCTAATGGAACATTTAAAGTGGTTTCCAAAATAGAGTGTAATTTTGAAAGTACTCCCGAGGGAATTTTGCTACCCAAGGATATATTGAAGATTTATTTGAAAATTATTAATGCATGTATGCTTTATAAAATATGTATTATTAATCTTACATAGTTTGCCTTGATATGTGTATAGGCAGCCAAGTGGGAAACATTAGAGAAAGTTAAAATTCTTTTATGTTAAAACAGTTAAGATCCTTTTCTTTGATTTGACCAAAGATGTTGTTTGGAAAATATTCATAAAGAAAATATTCATGGGGCATTTTGGCCATTATTAGGAGTTTTCTAGTAACTTGATTAAACGTATTGCATTAAATCATAAGGCATAAGAATTGAGGAATGAACTAGTGATTAATTCCAAGCTGTTTAAGTTCAATTTAGCCCTGAGCAATTTAAAAAGCTACTTACTACCTTACACCTGGAATCTCATCCAAAATGGTTAATCTCCCCCCTTTTCTACATTTATTATTTTATGCTAAAACAACAATAGATAAAATGCAAAATAAAAAATAGTAAATTAAACATCATTTAGTCTGAAGGAATGTGCTCTCATATGGAAAAGCAGACATTCATTTACCACAAAAAACTTCTAACATCAAGTATATTTTGGTTCAAATCCTTGAAAGTTATTTGGATGGTTCTCAGATTGAATGTTTGAAGCAGTGCAGTAATAGAATTAATTACTATTAAATATTTAATCATTGCATATTTCAAGGTAATTTATTAATTGTTTTTAAGTCCTTCTTTCTCGTATCTATTGAAAGACAATAGTCCGTGTCTCTGTTGGTGGAACTGTTGTCATGTTATTATATTGTTAGGTAATTTTTTATAAGTGCAACTGTTTAGAAGGGACTTAAAGAGGCAAGTAGAGGGTTTTTTTAAAAAAGTTTCCTCTTCGATTTCCATCAGTAAATTTTAAATCAGTAAAATTTCCATACTTAAATCAATAAAAATTTCCATACTTCAATCAATAAAAAAGCCCCCTTTAAAGCAGAATTGTGGAAGAAAAGTCAAAGCCTCAAAAGGACAAGCACTTCTCCAAGTGACCCCATTTATGGAATTCAGGTCATGATTCAGAAGGGTTCCAGCTTCACCAAGCTGGTCTTCCTAGGTTCTGTACCTCATCCAGGGTTGAGCATCTTTGACTTTGTCTTCCTGGCAATGCAGATGTTCATGTCTCTGTAACTTGAACAGCTGTTTCATTCATTTGGGAAGACTGTAACTGCCTATAAAGTGCTGGTGTGTATTATTACTGCTCTGAGTGTAAGTAATATTATACAGTGTTCACTGTCCCATGGTTAATTGCTTTTTCCTTTATGATAGCTGTAGAAAATGAAGAGTGTTGTTGAATGAAGGTGTTTATTTGGTGGTTTCAGTTTCTTAAGTATTATAACATCAAACTCCCACACACAACTGAAGATGCCAAGTGTCTTAATAGTTATAGAAAAGTAAATTCCTCTCCCTACAGTGAAGGTTGAAGGGTGCCTCTTTAAGACTTCAGAAGTGGTGGGAAAATTAGGCAGAAGGTGTAATTGTAAGTAATTGGAGATGATGGTTGTGTGCTAGATGAAGGGATGCAATGTCCATTAATTAGAAAATGGGGGGAATGAAGCATTCACTGCTCCCAGGTTTGGCTGGTGTCTGAGCAGTGCAGCTCTGGTAAGTGATTTTAATAGTTGGTTACAGAATCTGATCTTACTGGCTAAGGCAATACTATAGAAATTGAAAAACCCCACAAAATCTTGTCTTTTGTTTCGGGAGAGAGAAAAGAAGAGTTCTAGTATGTATTAATGGACTTCAATTTTTTTGAAGATTAAACAGTAGACAATTGGAAATTTTCCCATTTTCCAATTTCTTAGAAATAGGAAATGCTTTAAACACCTGAAAATGTGACACTTGGAATCAGTATTTTAATTCACCTAAAATCTCAAACTTCCCCTTATTCTGTAGAAACGAGTACAACACACTGAGAAATTGTGTATCATTTGCTAAGGTACAATCTTAAGCAAGAATCAAACTCTGAAATAAGAAGTATTGTACATACTATACTATACATAAGAAGTACTATACATAGGCATTTATTCTCCTCAGTCAGTAGGGCTTAAAGCTGTCTGGTTTTGCTGGCATCTCATGGGATTTCACTATGTCAGGTAGTCAAGAAATCAAGTGAACACAGGTTTTATAATTTATTGAACATACACTTCTTTTATTCAATGGGAAGAAATTTAGATTTGAAGAACTGTAATTTCTTTCAGTCCAAACAGATTGCTCACTCAATACAGGTATTAATTGGCATTTATTAAACAAAACAATTATTTATATTGATCTTTTAAATTTGTATATCTCCACATTACTTCCTCCCGTAGTCAGTTGCTCTATAAAACTAACAAATCCTCATCGGAGAGCTGTTAATCAGAGACTGTTTGAACTATCTGAACTATTTTATTTCAACCATGAACTGAACTGTTTTTCATGGTTCAAGTTAAATTGTAAATAGTGACCTGCTTAGTTTGGTTTGTCCTGTTCATAATTTCGGATCATCGTTTATATTACTTAGCAATTCAATGCAGTATAAGTTGCATGAGAGGTTTCAAAACTGGTGTCTGAAGTTTTGACTTCCCTTTACAGAAAAGTTATTCCTGTCACCACCCCCCTGAAGAGTTTCAATTTGTCTTGCAGACAATTTGATGCTTCCAGGATAGTTTCAGTGCATGTTCTCCTTTTTTTGTCCTTTTGAATCTTAAAAGTTTCAGGAAATACAGAAAATAATGCTTAAAACAAGCAGCAATTCAGTGGAAGGAAGTTCACTGCTTATAAAATGATATTTGATTGCCTTCCCCGTGCAGCAGCCTGTTTTGTGTGTAAGGAGAGAAAGGCGTGAAAAGGAAAATGTTTTGCCAGCTTGCAGCTTGGGAGGTGCCAGCAGAGAGGCTGTGGACGGCTAAAGGAAGCTAAAGCAGTTCACAAACACGTCAACTCACAGCCTCAGTCTTTCCCAGAATCCACAAGAGTCACAGGAATATGTGTTCTGAAAATGCTTTTTTCCCCTCCTTCGGCATTTAGATAGAATATCTTGATAATGTATATGGAAGTAATCATTTACAAGGGAGTGCTGTAACAAGAACTGTATCAAATTTGCTGAAAATGCAGTATATGAAGTAGTTAACAGTTTGCAGTGTATGACCTCTCGGTTTTTCATTGTTATCCTGAATTTCCACATGTGACTTACTTGATATTTTATCTCAATTATATAAATGTTTTTAATTTTTTTTTTTTATATTTTTATTTTTCAGGTCTGGCAAAATGTCTCAGCAGAGAAAGAGAATTTTCATGTGGCCTTGAAAAAGGAAGAAAATCAAAGCACCCAGGAGTGTGATTCTCAAGATGTAAGATTAACTCACCTGAAAAACAAGGCCTAATCTAAGCTGTATGAAAACATGAATGCTGTAGGCGACTGTCAATGAGACTTTTCCTGTTCAAGATGGTAGACATATTTTATAAGCCTGCTATGTTCTGTATTAAAGTGCTGAGGAGCAAATGCTCTTTGCTGTCAATCTGTGCATATATATTATCAAGGATTTTTTTTAAAAAACTGACTAATAGAACTGGTAAAGCTGTTGCAGGAAGAGCAGTGGTGGAAAGTGGTGTCATTTGATGTTTAACCATTTCAAAAATGCATTTGTTACTGGTTGAAGTGTTGCCTACATTATAGTGAGATGAAAAACCCTTGTTTACATATCATTATATTTATTACTGATTGATTTACTTCTAATAATTAGGCAGAGCCTTCACAGCTGCTTTGTTTAACAAAGCAAAGCCTTTGGGGAGATGTAAGACATGACAGCATAATAGATGAAATGATGGGATATTGTTCACTGCCAGCCTAGAAAAACTGTAAGCTGTGTTTTTCTTAGGACAGGTCTGACAGAAAGCTAAATCTGGTGCTTTTACTGAGACAATACACTCAGTAAAACAGAGTGGTATGAGCTCTTAACAGAAATCTCAAATACATGTATTGTGGCTGAAATGATAAAGATACAAATAGAACAGGGAAAAAAACAGAGAAAATGAGCGAGACAGATTTTGTTGTGAGAGTCTGCTCTGACTGTTGAGGATTTTCTGCTCAATTGTTCAAAAAGTATAGTGCTACTCTAATTTGCAGGTGAAATATATATATATCAAATATTCGATATATATTGAAAATATTGTTATATCTTGAGATAAAACAAAATCTGACAAAGGTAAATGAGTAGCTTGCTGTTAGTGATCATGACAGTGTGAAGAAAATTCTGGAAAAAAGATCTTAGATAACTCAGTATACAATAAATTTTTAAAAAATTATATAGCATCCATTTATTGCAAAAGTGTTACAAGTTTGTTGAGTTACAAGTTACCTCCCTTCTACCATATCCTCTACAGAACAAGGAGAAATTACAAAAATCCATAAGAGTGCATACTTTGCTGTTGCACATTTCTTAATACCTAAAGGTAAAGAAAACTTCAGTTGTTAGTAAAATTTGAAGAAGGGGAAGAAAAACTTGTAAAACTGTGAAGTTGGAGTGAACTCCATTTAGATTATGACTAGAGGTTAGTTATTGCTTGGAAAAGTTGTGTAAGGCTTGATGAAATGGTAGAATACTTTCAGTAGAGACTGAAACAATTTAGGCTAAATACTTTTATCAGAAATTTTAAACAGCTCTTTTCTACTGAAGTGGATACATTAAAAGAGAAAGAAAAAGAAAATAACTGGTAGTGTATTTCAAAAGTCAAACCAGTATTTAATTTCTGCATCAAGTACTGCAATGAAAGACACCTGAAAGATTCACCTTTCCATAAAATCAAGGTTTTAGTTATTGAGATGGTGGTTTAGTTATTTAGCTGGTTGTTTTTTGTCCTTCTAACAGCTCGTATTTTTAACTGTTTAGTCAGTCAGCAACTGTTTAGTCCGTCAGCAGATGGACACACTGTCCATCTTAACATAGGCTAAAATGGCCATAAAAATAGTGCAGGTGATGACATTGGTCTAGCAACCTTTTCTTCTTCATCATCATCATCATCATCTCACATTAACATAGAGAGAAAGAAAGACACAAGGAAGAATTCAAATTATTAGCTTTGAGAACTGAAATAAAAATCTTCTTTCCACAATTAGCCTTCATATTGGCATTAGAAATACCACTTTAAGTTCTGAAAGAACTGGAAGGAATTTATACCCAAAGGATCATAATTCTTCGGTAATTCAAAGCTGCCATTTGTACCTGTGAACACTATCACTTGGAGAAAATGCAACACTTAGGAAGAGTTTTAATTGTTTTTTTTTTCATTATTTGACTGTGTGTAATTTTTTCTGAAGTTTTTACAGCTTCTTACAGTCAAATGAAGGAAGATTAAGGTGGGATGGTTAAGGTTGTAATGCAGCATTTTAAAGAAAAATTAGTGAAGATGCACTAAAAACTGTGTTGCTTAGAAACCAAATATTTCAGTAATCCTTTCTCAGAACTTTACAAAGATCCTTTTATTGTGTCTCTGATAAATAAAATGTGATTTCTGTTTAGAAAGAATTAAGGTAGTGAAGACTAACTAGAGAAGAACATGCAATCTTATAGATACTGAGGCAAAAAATAAAGCAAAATGGTTAGCTGCTGGTTCCAACTGGTATTGTTAAGTCTGTATAGCTAAGCATCTCTACCTTCAATTTGTGATCTTTCTGCAATGTTGTATTTATGGGGTTTATGCTTGTTCAGAGTAATAAGTGTTGTTTACATTAGAACAAATACTGAAATACAAAAAATGAAAATTTATTGACAAATGGGATACGGAGTAGAAAATTTGGAAATGAGACACTGCTGATATTTACCTGTAATGAAATTTGGCATAGGACCAGTAATAGCCAGAAGTAGGTAGAATATCCTGTGATACAGGATCTGAAATTCATCAAATCCCCCCCCCAAAAAAAATTACCTTCAGTATTGTTGTAGAAGTTTCCATTCTTTTGATTATTTGTACTTTATTGGAGGCATCTTGTCAGTACTACTTTTTCTTAGCCTTATCCAGAGATGCTTTCCTATGTCTGACTCCTGAAAGCCTCTGTGCAGAACCAGAGCTCTGAAGAGCTTTTTCCCCTGTATCCCTTCCTTTTTCTGTCTTCCCAAAAGCTTTTGGGATTTTGGCTTTTACACCATAATTTACTTAATTGCCTTTCATGTCTGATAATTCTTATGCATATAACATATCATTTTAAACCACCTACTTGGTATTGCTAAAACATCAATGAATTTATAAAATTATTCTTTGTTCTCTGTTGTCATATTAGATTTTTTTGCTTTGTCCTTATAGAATCTTCTCTGATAAATAGAAGTGGTAGTGCTTTTATTTACTGCCTTAATTTCCTGCAGTAAAAAAACACTATATGTTCATTAATCATTCAACAACAAAGGATATTCAGTATTGGAGCCAAAATTGTATACATTTCTAAGCAACTACAGCATTTTGCTTTATTTTCTTAAATCAGTTTCAGTTTCAGAGCTTTGATCAAATTGCACTCTCCAATTGTTTTCCAAAGGGCGTACGAAGAGAAAAAAAAAAATTTATAACAAAATTTCAAACGTAATAAAATCCTTAAAGTAAATTTGCTTCTGTAAATGAAGACTAGGAAGAGGAAGGTCATAAGAAGTTTTTTATCTGAGTTTAACCATCCCCTTAGCACACTGATCTAAAACAGGAAAAGTGTCAGAAAAACTGCAGAGGTGTCTTCTGAGAAGGTATATGCACATTTCACATACTTCTTGTTCTGTATCTTTCTTCTAAACAGTGATTAAAGCAGCTCCCAGTACAGACCTGTAGCAAATTCATGAGCAAATCTGATAAAACATGTCTTTGAGTAAACTGTGAACCTAACCTGACAACTAATATTACTAGTTTGTCAGTTGACCTAACCACACCATTCTTTTCTCCTGTATCTGGTTTATTTTCTTCAGAATTAACTCAGTACTTTCTCCCCCATCGTGCTTTACAAACAATTTCCATATCTGCTTTTTGTGCTCTGTGAAGCCAAAAGGAGGAGCAATGGGCAGGAACACTGAAACTCCAATGTCTGGTCAACTAAATCTGTATGATGCTCTTTAGGAGCAGCAGAACTATTTTCAAACTGCAAAAACTGTTACAATACCACTTATTTGAACTTGATTTCCTGTTCACTTGTGAATTGATTATTTGACCTTAAATTGTTATGATTTTTTTGACCATAAAGCCAGTTCTGATTTGCTGAGTTGATGCAGTAGAAAATACTTATATTTACATTGTTCAGCTGTTCACAGATAAAGCTGCATGATTTAATAGCCAATGGACATGCTGAGTTCTGACTGGCTTGTTAACATTTTTTTAACAAAGATGCACCCTTAGTTTATCCACCTTTGTCATTTATACATCCAGCTGTGAAGCTCTCCAGCTTTGCAGTGTTATTTACTAGGACAATTGAATACCATAACTTCCCAAATTTTGTATACATGACCAATCAATATGCAGATTTTATAACCATAATTTCACACACAGATAATCTGTTAATTGGGCTGCATGCTAAGCTGAGGAAAGCAACACAGCAAATAGTTTTTGCTTTTTGATAGTTTCTGCCCTGTCAAGCTCTCATGCTGTCCTTTTGTAATGAGTGTACCTCTCATGGGAGGGAATCTGACAGACAGAAAGAGTCACACAGACAAACATACAAAACAATCCACTGTTTAGCATAGAGGGAACTAACAACAGTAACAGAAGTTTAATATTTTGCTTTCTTTGTCTGTCACCTAAGGTTGTGAAAGGTATTCTAGTCCATTGAGTTTATATTCTGCCACTGATCTTTAGCTGAGGGACACAAAGATATATGTGTTATGTGTGTTTGCATATTTATGTATTTATATATGCATCTAGATACAGACATATAAAAACACATCAATACACACGTGGGGGTGTATGTATGTGTATGTATTTATATAGATATGCCTGAGGTCATAGGTGTATGGGATTCAGTTTGTGTTCTGTTAAACCCAGTCCCCTGTGTGTGTTTGCACCTCGTCCACAGGAGCTGGTTACAGTCCTGGCTATTGAACTGTTGTTGTTCAAGCTGTAATTTAGTTGGTAATGATATACAATGTTTCACAGTGACAAGGAGTCAATAATGAATATGTTATGCTTTAACATCATAAAGACATCCTTAAGAAAAAGTCCCTATCTTTCTCCAACAGTGATCCATATGGTGTGCTACTAAAAGGAGAAGATCTCTGAGTGAACAAATGTGAAATAATACAGACATAAGTCGTTATTGCTCTTTTCCTATCAAGATAGCCTTTGTTATCTGGCCTATGAAAAGAGTATGCAAGACTACTCACTCATACAGCATTGTTTTATTGTTCACTTTTATTTTCTCTAAAGCAGACCTGTTTTTTTTTTTTTTTCCTTTGCATGTCTTAAGAAGCTGACTTCTAGCTTTATTAATGCAATTAATAGTTTTTGCTTCCTATGTCCTATAAATTATGTTGGTGAAATAGGTCACCTGATTTCATGTTCTAGTAGGTACAGTTAGAGAAAATTCTGGATATGTAAATGATCATATTTAATTAGCATTATTTCTATCCTCTTCATTACACATTTTGCAATACTATTGATTGTTGGACCTATAGTATCTTTTGTCCTCAAGCCACACACCTAGAAGTCACCTAAATCTTCATTTTTTCTGAAGATAATTCAGCTTGAATTTTTTTTTTTCAAAATCTAGATTAAGAGTAAATAATTTAAATGGAAGTTTTGACAGGATCGCATGTATAAGGTTTTGAAGTATTACAAGACTACTAAAAATTTCTACTCTGTCATCTGACTTTTTAGTCTTTATCTAGGACATAAACCACGTTTGTTTGATGTTTTGTTTGATTTTCTGTCATAAAAGGAGTAGGTGCTTTATCAATAGACTTTGTTTTAATCAATACTGTGTTGATTATTCTCTACATTAATCCAATTTTTGCTTCTACTGTCTAGAGTGGGAAAGTATGAAAAAGAGTTCCCCACATCAAATCCATCTGCATCATCTCAGAGGCTGCCTTCAGTAGCTTAAACATGACTAAACCCCTCCCACTGTTACCTTGGAAAGAGTCTTGATGACTTTAAACTTAAAAAAAACCTTGTCATTTTCCCTCCATTTAAATGTGTCACTTTTAATAGCAAAACAAGTAGAGAAATTCCAATGTGAACTCATTTTAGAGTAATGACCAAGTATTATGAATATTTGACTGTATTTAATCTTTCAACTCCTTTTCTTATGGCATCCTTAATCCTACTCCTGAAGGGACTTGGATTTAAGTACAGTAGAATTTTCAGTGTTGAGTAAATCTCTGGTTTCATATCTGAAGATCTCCTTAGTTCAAAAATCCACTTTGTAATTACTTTTATTTATGCTGTGCAACTCTGCTTTCCCAGCTATTAAAAAGCATATTGGCAAAGAATACAACATTATTTCTTGAATAAAATGACAGCAAGTAATGCAGCAAGATTTTCTGCCTTGAGAATCATCTGACTTCTCATTCAGTGACTTTATATTCCTATTCAGGGATTATTATACCTAAGAGATCTAGTGTATAGCCAAGAGAATAGTAATAGAGAAGTTCTAACTGTAATGCTGATTTTCTACTGTTTGTTACTATTTCCTCACCCATAAAAGACACTTGTAATTAATTTTCTGTTCCCTAGGACCACTTGTAGAAGTAAACTTCACTATTGGTGATGAGATTTAAACATGAAGAAAAAAATCTGGATAAGTATCAAGTTGTTAAACTTGCTGTCACAAGACTATATTGTTGAAGACTTTTACAGGGATGATGGGAGTCTGGGATAAGCTTAGATATGAAAACTTTGTTCCATTTCATCAAGTAGGCTTAAAAGACCCAAATTGTGTTTTTTAAGTATTTTGGGTTTTTTTGGTTTTTTTTTTTTTTTTGAAAACTGAATATTTTTGGAAAAAAATAGGAAGTAGTTATCTCTGACATTTCTATTGACAGGTTGCCAAGACATGTTTGGGGAATCATAATAATTCAACATCTCGTTTGAAAGCAGCAGAAACAGAGACAAGCTTTCAGGTATTCTCTTCCAGAGTAATTTTTGGGGTTTTACTAAAAGGTCTTGTGAAATTCAGGTACTTAAAGTATACTTACACATTCTTCACCAGGTTCTGTCTCAAAAGAGAAGACTACTTAATTCAGACTTTGACTGTGTCTGATTGTAACCGATTTGTTCAAAATGTTTTCTGGCTGGTAACAATTTGCAAACTATTAAATATTTGGAAAGCTGGTAGTCAAATGAATTACAATCAAATTACTTAATTTGACAGTGTGATGTGTATAGCCCTGGAAGCAGGAGTAAGGAGAGATTTCCAAAATAATTAAAAATTAAATACATATATATATATGTTGTTTTTATAATATGCATTGATATGAAGCTGTATGTAGCATCAGACTTGTATGGTTTTGCACTGTGAAGGTTGTTAATTATGCTTTCTTTAATAGAGATCAGGACCCATTTCTAGGGACAATTCCATTGCCATGGAATCTTAACACACTTTTTTATTTCTGTTTATGTATATATGTATTCTATACACCATGTTTTTACCTTTACAGAAGTTTCACAGCCCTCCATGGACTAAACCTGAAGATGAAAAATCACCTGAAAAAAAAGAGAAAAAATAGGAAGCATCTGTTAGTACTCCAGAATAAAAACTCTAAATGCTACTAACCTACATGGAAAAATGCCAATCACTTCCATTTTCATGTTCTGCTAGCACAAAGGCATGAAATGTCCCAGGTTTCTAAAGCATGGATTTTTCACTGTTTTATGAATGTCTGTAAATTAGTCTAGAACAGACCAGTTAGTACCTTACAGCAATAATCCAAAATTGATGTTTGAAGAAGTGCTTTGTAATGCAGTCCAGTTTTTGAACTCTTGTTCTACCTTATCAGTAATTGTATACTATAAATTACCTTCTTTGTAAACAACAGTCATTCTCAAGTATATTTCTCACTGTTTTATTTCATGCAATTTTGTGGCAGATTAGATTCTAATATTAAGAGGCAGTCAATGTGGAGGGGGGGAAGGATTCAGTGTAACCATATTTGAAGTACAATCCTCAAGTGCAACTGTAAAAAGAGAACTCTGTCTGGGGGTCCATCTATTCTTACCTTTTAGTAATTTCATCTCAAATCCACTTACTTACACAATAAAATAGGTTTATTTTGTTCTTTTTTTCCTCAGTGCTATCTTAACTAGTTCATTTCTGAACACGGAAAAGCTGACAGAATTGGATTTTAAGGGATGGAGATAGAGAGGATCATTACTTTAAGGATTCAAGCAAAAAAACTTGCAGGTGGTACTGAGTTCCAGTTTCATAGCTTGGATGGCAGCCATGGGACATCAGTTTAATCCCTTGTATTTGTGCTGATCTCAACAGGATGAAATATACTTCAAAGGGTAAAGCCCTGTTTTGTCCACTACAGTTGGCCTTTGATCACTCCATCAGGGAGGACTGACTGGAGTCAGCTCTGTCGCTCATGGAGTCTTTCAGTTTCTCCTTAGTCACACTCTATGACAAGAAAGCAGAAAAGAAAGGGAGGAGAAGAGAGAATGCTTTTCTTTGTGGGTGTATGTCATTATTGGTCTAATTTAAGAATTCATATGCCATATCTTTTTGAGATGCAAATCTTTCAAGAGTGGTTGGAATAGTAAACTGCCTGATGCAATGCTATCTATCCCTAGCAAAAAGTGTTTTAAGCATTTGTAACTTGTAAAACTTGTAAACTTCCACCTTTGTCTTAATGCACACCTCAGCACAATTTTTATTAGATTTGAAGTAGTTATAATAATATACTTTGTCTTGCTTTGTATAAGTTTAAAAGCAAATAGACAAATCTTTTATTAGACTTAGTGATGCTCTGTCTTCAGTTTTAACATTTAAGATTTTACCTTTACCTCAACAGTCTCCTTCAATACCTGCCTTGTCCTTGCTGATATGAGTAATCTTTCACCCTGACACTTTGTATGTGCTCGTCTACTCAAAGATAGATAGTTGCAGTTTTTCTGCCTTGAGAAAATACAATTTTAAAAAGAAAAAAACCTCATGAGCTGGCCAAATGATGACAAAGTACGGCTTAAGACTGTCCATGTTAAGAGTCAAAAGACATGAAATCGTGGCTACGAAATTAATCAGGTAAGAGATGTGGCTCTTTGTATTTGACCCTAAATCTTGCTGAGGACATTCAGCTTTCTTTCAAAATTTTCAGTGGGCAAGAGACTTGTGATTTTGTCATATCTACAGCTGGCATTAATTTCTAGTGATGCCAAAAGTAACATTTCCTTGCATGTGACAGACCTTAACTGAAAAGGTCACTGAAACTCTGTTTCAGTCACCTGCCAAGGAAGGATCTGCACTGCACAGTGGTTGAAGCCCTCCAGCAGGACAAAAGCCTATGAGCACAATGCTCCCTGCAGCTTTAGAAAGAAGCCTTTGGCAGTAGGATCCCCTTTATCAGGCAGCCTGTAGTAGATACTAACCACAGGGCTCCTTGGCTGCCTTGGTCACTGATTCTTACCTACAGGCTTTTGACTTGCTCATGGCTGTTCTTCAAGCACAGCTCCTCACACGGAATCCACTTCTTGATGTAGAGGGCAATCCCTCCATCTCCCCTTCCTCCCCTGTATCTTCTGAACAGGCTGTAGCTATCAGTAGTGACACTCCAGCCATGGGATTCATCCCACCAAATTACAGAAATGCAACAAGGTCGGAACTTTCCTGCAGCACAGTAGCTTCTGATTTATTAAAAAAGTAGGGATATTGATCTAGTACCTATATCTAACTGTGACGGACAAAACTCTAACAGTTTAAAGTTAGCAAGTGCCCTTTTTGCCGCTGCTATGTGTATTAGCTATAATTTGCGCCATTGATATATGATATATGTGATATTGAGTATTTGTTGGAGCATACACGTTTGTATTAGGACTCCCCCCCCCACCCTCGCAGACGAACCCGGGGTGTGTTGAAACCCGATTGACACGTAAAAGGATGTGGCTGGCCAGGAGATGGGCCATGTCTGGAGAGATACGGGGGGACCCCAGGCGCTGATCATTGCCTGAACGACCCGAAATGGATATCTTAGAAATCCTCGGGCAGATACATGTAAATGCAGCGTTCCCCTAAATTTCATCAAGGGATTCACCAACTCCTGACACTGAATTGTTCTTCTTCATCGCCAAAAAAGAAAATCTTATTAACCTCTAGATTCTGAATAGAAGAAAAGACTGACTGCCGAAGTCTTAGCTTCAGGCGGAATTTTCCCTATAAAAACCGCTTGTGCCAGGATGGAGGTGTGTGGGTGTAGAGGAAAACCTCTGCTGAGGCTGACTTCTTGTTGCACACCCAGCGCCGACCCCGGGCTCGGCTGTTCTTTCCTTGTGGCTGGCTAGATAGAATTTGATTGCAAAATCAATATTTTATTTTTTCCTATTAATTTAGGCGGACAAATTCTCATTTCCAACGCCGCCATCTTGGGAAGCTCCAGCGGGTCCCGCGCCCCCCGGCGGGGCTGCAGTACCGCCCTCTGCCCACACGGCGGCAGCACCGCCGCCCGCCACAGCCGGGGCCGCCGCTCGCCTCAGGGCCGCGGGCGGGGCGGGGCCGGAGCAGCGCGGGCGGATCCCCTCAGAAACATCCCCTGCAGCAAATGCTCCGTGTGCGGGACGGGTTTGTCCCGGCACTTGGGGCTCCCCGGGATCGTGTGCCAGGGAATAAAGCCCGCGCCGCGCTCCCAGCTGCGCTGCCGCGGTTCTGTGGGCTGCGCTGGGCTCTGTTTCCCGGGGAGCAGCGGGGTGGGGTCCCTGTGCCACCCCCGGGGGTCGCACGGAGAAGCTGCTCCCGTGGTACGGCCGAGGGTCGGGGGAAACCTGAACAGTCCTGATGGAAACCGCTGGAAAAACAAGTTTGGCTCGGTTTTGACATTTTCCCCCGACCCCCACCTGGTCCAGGTGTTTTGCCTTAGGAAACAGGAACAGGAGACAGAAGGGGGAATGGAGAAAAAGATAATTCATTACCCCAAAAGGGACGAGCTTATTTCTATTGATTTCCTGATGCATCTGGGAGCCGTGGGCGGGCCGTGGTTATAAAAGGGGTAAAGGTGGAGGAAGGGGGGTCCGGGGGGAGAGGAGCAGTGGTTGGGATCAGGGGTGCCCTGGGGATTTGCACCTGGAAGCGGCCGCCAGTTTCCTGATGGGAGCCCTGGAAACACAGCTCGGAGTCCGTGAGAAATGCGAATACTGCAGCTGGAGTGCTGAGAATGGAGGCTCTGCAGAGAATGTCGTCTGGTGAGTCTCCTGATGGCCCATAGCTAATGCTGTGCTGGCACCAAGTCACCTCATTCCGATTTAAACTCTCTTGAACTACGCTGAAATTACTAACTGGACTACAAAATGCACGTGGGAAGCTTCATGTTCCTAAGGAAATGCTTTAGGGATGTGCAGCTTCTGAACTGCACCAACAATCCCCGCTCCCACAGAAACCTGCTGGGCCGTGGTTCTAGGGCAAGGGTGGCAGAAAAGTGGCACCTTCAGTGCCACCCTAACAGGGATTTCCCTTGGAGCTCTCAGGATCGGGAGGAAATGGTGTTCCTGCCCCTCTGGGAAAGCGGGAGCAGGATCAGTGCTGCAGCTGTGTCTTTTTCCTGCTCTCTGCAGCTGTTCCAAGGATGCCCTGGAGTGCTCTGGCCCAGGGCAGGATAATCTGTGTTTAGAGCTTCCCCCGTGCCTGGGTGCGCAGCTGGGTCAGTCACAGCTCCCGTAGAACCCCTGAGGTTGGAAAAGCCCTTTGTGCTGCTGAAATGGCCCCAGGACAAACCTTCCCAAGCTGGAAGCAAAGCCAGTGGCAGGGAGAGAAATCCAAGAGGGTGGTGGGAAGGGCTTTCTCCCAGGTCTGGACGCCCTCAAGGCAGGGGTGATTTTTAAGTGTTGTTAAATGCTGCAGCAGCTCCCTCCCCATGTGAGAGCTGCCTCAGCTTGGGTGAGTGTGAGGATATCCAGCTCTTCCTTAGGGCTTGGAGCATGGCAGAGCTCATGGTAAATCTTGTTGAAACACTTTTAATATCAAATGCATTAAAACAGAGACTTTGAGGAAATAGCACACGAAAGTCTGTTGCAAGCATAGGTACCAGCTGCCTTTATTAAAGATCCGCATTGACGGGTGTTTTGTCAGACCACTCTGAGGACAGAATGTGTCCAAAAAG